AGCTGCACATCCTTCTAGTTGCTGTATGTGGGACGTGGCCTCAGCATGGCCGGAGAAGCGGTGCATCAGTGCGTGCCCGGGATCCGAACCCAGGCCGCCAGCAGCAGAGCACGTGCACTTAACCGCTAACCAACGGGGCCGGCCCCATCCATAAATATTTCACTATATATCTCTAAAAGAAAAGGATCCTTTTAAACATCAATTCAATACCACTATGTGTGAATAAGGAAATTTAACAATAATTCCTTAATACAAATATCCAATAAGTATTCAAACTTCCAATCGTTTCATAAATATTAAAAATTTGTTCGAATCAGAATCTAGTAAAGGCCATACATTATATTTGGTAAATAATTCCCTTAAATCTTTTACAATTCATCTTTTTCTTGCAATTTATTTATTGAAGAATACTCTAAATATTAGACATGAATTCTTTTTTATTTTTGAAAAATATTCTTATTATTGTCCACAATTTTTCATTCTCATCCAAATTTTTGGATGTGATAGACAGAGAGCTAGAGAATAAACTAAAATAAAGCCCTTCATTTAAGAGAGTCAGTTTGTTGAAAACAGTAGGATAATACTTGAGAAACACTACCATATAACACATATACCTGGAAATAAATTCTGGCTATAAATTAATGATTCAAGAAGTCACACACAGGGTACACATGGATACTACATATGATATTTTAAAAGGACTTGCTAATTCAGCTTCCCGACAGTCCCCTAGTGTACTCACTGTGGAGACGGCCTTTCTGTTAATAGTTAGGATGTACCAGACCAACCAACTGCTGACGAAACAGGCTGCTATGTGACTGCGTTCTGTTGTATCCAAATGTGACTAAGAGTAATGGGTGTCCTGCTTTTCCTTTCTCCTTCTGTATTGCAAGTAGCAAAGACTGCTTCTCATCATGCTCACATGGCCACATTTCTTTTTTTTTTTCTAATTGGGTTTATTGAGATATGATTTGCGTACAGCAAAATTCATCCTTTTAAGTATATAGTTTGATGAATTTTAACAAATGTATACAATTATGTACTGACTAACTCAATCGGGATGTAGAACAATTCCATCATTCCAAAAAGTTCATTTGTGTTCACTGTTTAAAATGCATTAATATGGGGGCCGGCACCGTGGCATAGCAGTTAAGTGTGAGCGCTCTGCAGCTGGTGGCCCGCGTTCGGATCCAGAGCGAGCACCGATGCACCACTTGTCAGGCCATGCTATGGTGGCATCCCATATAAAGTGGAGGAAGATGGGCACAGATGTTAGCCCAGGGCCAGTCTTCCTCAGCAAAACGAAGAGGAGGATTGGCATGGATGTTAGCTCAGGGCTGATCTTCCTCACAAAAAAAAAAAGAAAAAAAAATGCATTAATAACAAAATCTCATCTCTCTTTGTTTTTAATCTCACAATCAATTTGGCAAAATCATTATTGTTTTAAATGTAACATTTTTTAGATATGTCCCTAAAGTAACCTATATACTGCATTTGAAAAAGAATCAGTCTGGGCTGGCCCCGTGGCTTAGCGGTTAAGTGTGCACGCTCCGCTACTGGCGGCCCGGGTTCGGATCCCGGGCGCGCACTGTCGCGCCGCTTCTCTGGCCATGCTGAGGCCGCATCCCACATGCAGCAACTAGAGGGATGTGCAGCTATGACACACAGCTATCTACTGCGGCTTTGGAGGAAAAATAAATAAATAAAAAATTAAAAAAAAAAAAGAAAAAAGAATCAGCCTAATTTCTTTATTCATTACACAGAATGTAAATATAGAAAGGGGATAACATGGCCGGCCCTGTGGCTTGGTGGTTAAGTGCACGCGCTGCAATGCTGGTGGCCTGGGTTCGGATCCCGGGTGCGCATCGAGGCACCACTTCTCCATCCATCCTGAGGCCGAGTCCCACATACAGCAACTAGAAGGATGTGCAGCTATGACATACAACTATCTACTGGGGCTTTGGGGGGAAAAAAT